AGGTGGGGGGGGAGGGGTGACCAGAATTCCTGGGTTCTATATCTGCCTCTGGGAGCAGAGTGGGGTCTAGTGGTTACAGCGGGGTGGAGTGGGGTCTGGTGGTTGGGACAAGGAGGGTTTAGGGAACTTGGTTCAGTGTGAGGCAGGATGGGATGCTCTCTGGGTGTGTTGGGGAATCTCCCCGCAGGTGGGGGGATATCACATTTACAAGGGAATTTTCTCTTTTAGCACCAGCCCTGTTGTGGCATTAAAGGCACCGGCTCAGGAAGACCCCACCTGTGAGTAACACACCCAGGGGGGTACCAGGGTGGGGCAGAACCCCGGGGAGGGGAGGGGCTTGTGGGGGCTCCACCCATATGGGGCAGGGTCTGATTTATAGCTGCTGCTGGGCAGGAATAAGGAGCGGGTCCCAGAGGTAGCCAGTGTCAGCGGAGAGTGTTGGACTCCCAGGAGCTCCCTGGGGCCACCCTCCCTTCCCGCTCTTGTTCCCCATCCACTCCTGGCTCCCAGCCCCCTGCTCTAACCACTAATCTAGACCCCCCTCTCCTCCCGAGCCAGGGTGAGAACACAGGTGTTCTGACTCCCAGCCCCCTGCCCCCACTGTAACCCCCTAGACACCTCTGTGCCTCAGTTTTCTTCTCTGTAACACAGGGCTAATGACCAGTGGTGAGCTGGAGCCAGTTCACACCGGTTCACAGGAACTGGTTGTTAAATTTAGAAGCCATTTTAGAACCGGTTGTCTCGCGTGGGACAACTGGTTCTAAAAGGGGTTCTAAATTTAAGAACCGGTAAAGCTCCGGCAGCTCCCCGCTCTGCCCCAGCTCACCTCCGCTCCACCTCCCTCTCCTCCCCTGAACGCTCTGCCCCACTTCTCCACCCCCTGCTTCCCGCAAATCAGCTGTTCGCGCGGGAAGCCTGGGAGGGCTGAGAAGCAAGCGGCAGTTTCATGCTCAGGCCCAGGGAGACGGAGCGGAAGCGAACTGGGGCGGGGGGCTCGAGGAGGGCCTCATGCCGTGGCAGGTAGCCCCCTACTCCCCACCCTAGCTACGCTACCCCGCCCCTGGGAGCCAGAAGGACCTGCCATATGCTTCCTGGGAGCTGCCCCAGGTAAGCAGTGCCGGGACTCCCCACCACGCCCCCTGGCAGGTCCCTCTGGCCCTTAAGGGTGGGGCAGGGTGGGCACCCACTACGGTGGGCCACGAGACCCTCCTGCCCAGCCCCTGAGCTCCCGGCTGGGGAGGCTAGTCCCCAGCTGTTCCCCCTCCCCCACAGCTTCAGCTTGCCCCACTGCCAGCGCATGTTCTGGGCGGCA